ACAATTGTTTGGTCACCGTCGGGAAACCGTTGAATATCTTCTCTAAGAGCGCAGGCCTCGACTGTTCGAGCGTACTTGGGTTCTTCGTATGGCAAACCGAATAAAACGTTATCTCTTATGGTTCCAGAAAAAATCCAGGCATTTTGAGGCAAATAAATGATCATACCTTGGCTGGTTACAGTTCCACTCGTAGGTGTGATTTCTCCAGCGATAGTCGCAAGAAGAGTGGATTTGCCGCTACCCACTGGCCCCGTTATCAATGTTAAACTCTTTGAAGCAGTCACAAACTCGATGTCCTGAAGAATATATTCATGTTCGCGATCAGTTCCCTTGTATGTTAAATTTAACACACGCAGAGATAGCGTTCCGATAAAATCTTTGGATTCGGTGCCAATGAAATCCTGATCTTTTTTCTCCGGTTTAACCAAACTAATCTTTGGGTCACCCCTGCTCTCTTCTCGCACTTCACTGGAACTTTGGGGCAGTGTTTCTAAGAGAAGAAAGTCTTCAATCCTATTCAGCGAAACGTAGGCTTCGTACACTAAAAAAAAGGTATTAGCCAGTCCAACGTTGATGTTTCTTCTCAGAACACTGACATAAGAAAGGAGCACGAAAATGTTAACAGGGTTAAGAGCCTGACCAGTCAGCACCATAGTGAAGACTGACACCAGGGTTGCCATCGCCGATACACTGCACATCAAGCCATCAACAGTTGACTGAAGGATGTTCTTCTTATGAATGGCACTAATTTCAAGCCTGAAATTATAATTATTTACAAGATCATTTAAGATTTCGGGTGTGCTTGTTCTACCGATTGCAAATTTGTTAGCGCACTGTCAAAAATTTAAGTGTAGAGCTGACAGCTTTAGGTGACAACTAAGAGTACTAGCAGGACTCGTTCCTGAAGAAAAGGTAGAAGGCTCGAAACACCTTGCCTTGCCCTTACCTTCGGGTATCTCTTATCCTTTCCCGGTATTCATCCTCCCACGCATGCGCTTTTATGGCACGTATCCCACCAACCACCTGACTCATCAGGGAAATGCGTTGATCGGACGCGGCCGCTATACGCAGACGCACTGCAGCACTACAATAGGATAAGCCGGCCAAGTATGGCACTGTAAAGCAAAGAAAGATGGCCGCCAAGACAGCCTGCCAGCCAATCAAGTAACCAAGAACAATCACTACCAGTACATTTTCAAGAACAAAGAAAGGAAATCTCAGGAAGAATAGGGCAGTTTCCTCCTCCATTCTTTTAACATCATTGGATATCAAGCCAAACACACGCCCGGTTGTGAAATTGAGCAGCTTTTCCTTGCTGACTAATAGCGTCTGCAAAAAATAATTGTCTTTAAAACACGAATATTATTAGCACAAGACTCGCTGTTTATAAAATATAACCAGGGGTAAGATACAAAAACGAAGTTGCTCTAAGTCTTGATTTGATCATATTTTATTCTAAAAGTCCATATTCGTTTGGGAAGAAACTGAAAACGGCCATGAAATTGGGAAATCGAGACGATACAAATTATTTTTCTAAGTTTATGACCATTTACTCATGCAGATTGAAATACAAAGTCGTGCGGTTAGAAGTTGAAGAAATATAGCATGGATACTAAACCCCTGAAGCTTAAGATCCTCAGGGTATTCTCGAAAAAAAAAACCTCCATACTTATGGAAACATTGTGGCGGTTACTGAAACAACGAAAGAAACCTTTCTCTACACTTCGCGACTGTTAATTACCCATTTCATAACCCGTGACCAGTCTGTGACCTTTGAAGCTAAAATGGTCTATTCTGATTCTCGGCCTCACTTACATTTACATCGCCTTTGATGCGTCGACAATGACTCAAGATCTTCGTTGGTTTGTTATCTTTCGTTAAGAGGTGTCAGTATAATATTTGGCGATTAAGGATACGGTAGACCTTTGCGGGTTCCCTTCGCGAAAAAGATTGTTACCGCGCTATTTAAAGCATAACCACCATAAACTATACATCAATGAAAAGGTTACTAAATACACTGTCCAGCAAAAATGTTTTTTGTTTTAGCTTGATCTAATCGTACGCCGACTAAGACGCAGCAAGTCAAAAAGGAAGATGTCTCTTTGAGCGAATTAATCGGGTATCAAATCTATCCGCACAAGTGAAACTTCTGCAGAATTTCAAGTTCAGTCTTAAGGGGTTGGTCTCCAATACCATGTGGGGCTTTTTCGATATTCCTATCGGTTGCTTTGCAATCTTTCTGTCAAGTTTGGATATCAAAATTTTACCGTTACGCGTTACGTCAGAGACCATTGTGAGATCAATTTCGAAAAACGGAAAAGCCTTACGGTTTTTTAGATTGGTATCTTGGGAGCCATCGGACCAAATTTCAAGTCAATCCGTAAAGGGCATACCCTATTTATTTTGTCCAAAGAAGACACACTCCCGTAAAAAGGAAGTTTTCAAAGTTTTTCCAACATTTCATGCCTTTAGTTGACCACAAGTTATGTGAACACTTTGAAAAACTCGAAATGCCGACCACCAATAGAAACACAGGCGCTGAGT